TTTTTGAGTTTAATAATTATGTTGTAATTTTTCCAATACAAATGTTTTTAAGTTTTAAATTAAAATTGAAGGTTTAAACTTAAAAGTCGAGTTTTTATGATCAAATCAAGTTTGAATTTTCTGTAATTTTAAAATGTAATCATTGGATTTTAAAATTGTACGATTACACATTTATTAGTATGCAAATTAAAAAAACTATTTTTTAAAAATGGGATTTAGAGCTAATATCCAGTATAAATAATACTTAATACTCAATACTTATTTTTTTGCAAATTCTCATATTTTTTATGATCAGACTCAATTTTAGATAAATATACATTATTGCAATTAGAAGTATTGTATTATCCATAATCTTCTGAACACTTGTGGCAGTTATTTAATTTTAATAATATGTATTTATAACGAAAACAGTTGTGTTTATAAAATTAAGTCCTAAATACAAACATAAAACACTTTTTCCATGAATAAAAGGTTATTTTGTTTATACATATCCTAAGAGGAAATCATTGTGAGCTAATAATGAGCCATTAAAACGACAATTTGTGACAATTGTGTTACTTTTAGTATAATTTACTAGAACTGTCTACCAGTGCCTCTACCCTAAACATTGTTTAATATTTGTATTTCACTATTAAAAGTTTATAATAAGAATTCACAGATAAAGTTGACGGCCTTGGTAGTTTGTTGTCTGGGCTTAAACTTTAAACAAATATTAATACAAAAATCAATATCACTGATTGTCTCAATATATTCAGTTACTATCGTATAATTTACATTAATTTCAATGAATACCTAGCTAATAATAAGTTTATATAAGTGAATAGTTTGTGTCTAACCTTCAAATATATTCATTAATCTTAAGCATCTATTTTTGAAAACACTTTTCCTTTTTGCTGTTCACTTGTGTTTTGCATTCATTTAGTGATAACCTGTAGACAGTTTTTGTTACAAAATTTGTTTTATGAGATATTGCCGTGAAATTAATGTCAAGTTTTGTGTTGGTTTTAATTTATTGCCGTTTAATTGTTTTAACTAAACTCTTTTAATAATTTTTATTGTTTTGACTTTTGTTTTTAAACATTTAACTTTTGATACAAAACATATGTTTGTGAAATATTTATAAAAATTATTATTATCATTATTTTATTTTTATCAATCCATATAATATCATGCTATCAATAATAATGTGAAAAATTGTTTACATTGAAAGATATTTGTAAAAGTGTTAATAACGATAAATATAAATTTGACATAATTATATATATAAAGTATATAATTTTTACATCCTTACATGATACAAATGAAAATATAAGTTATTATTTGGTTACAAAAATTATTTATAAGTGTTTATTTGATTAACTAAACAAAGCAAGTTCTGCAGCAAACACAATGCTTGCGACAATTGCGGCTATTTGTGGTTACATAGCTGCAATTAGTTTTGTGACCATTTTGGCGATTTATGTCTACTTTAAGCACAAGAATAGGAGAAGCGATGAGTTGTTATCCAGAATCCCGAGCCCTAAAGCCAAGTATCCATTAATTGGAAATTTAGATCTGTTCAGAATAAAAGACGTTCCCCTCAATGAATGTAAGCATATATTTTGGTTACCTTGATATGTGAATAGAAAAATTAAAAATATTATACTAAAACTAATTAAAATGGAAAAATATTATCCAGGTGTATATAGAACTCTAGTCGCCTTATCACAAATGTACGACAAATATGGTTTATTTAGAATTCAACTGGGTCCCTCACCCGTGGTCGTACTGTTCAAACACCATACTGTCGATGTAATTATTATTTTGTTTAATAATTAAATTTTAATATAATAGTATCAATGAAAATCATTGACAAATTGACAATTGTTATGTAACCGTTCGTTCACATAAATGAAATGAAAATAATGTATTTAAAAAATTGTATTACAATTGCATTGATTTGTATGAAGATTGTTAACATTTTAATATTAATACTACTATTATAATTTATTTTTATTATTTAATAGGCTTTATTGACGAGTAATACAAATATAGAGAAATCTGAGCAGTACATGTTTTTACTGGAATGGTTGGGCGAGGGGCTACTCACAAGTACCGGTGCCAAATGGAAAGGCAGGCGAAAACTGTTGACACCAGCCTTTCATTTCAAGATATTGGATGACTTCATACCGATTATGTGCGAACAGTCAGACATATTGGTCCAGAAGCTCATGAGGGAGTCCAGCAAACCATACATCGATATCAGGGAACCCATAACTCAGTGCACTCTTGATGTCATTTGTGGTGAGCCTTAAGAAACTTATAATTTGGATAAAAATCTTGAATTAATATTATATTTATATGAAATCAGAGACAGCAATGGGTGTCTCGATAGGCGCACAGTTAGGCAAAAACACGGAGTACGTGAATGCCATTCACAATATGGGAGAAATACTGATGAAACGGGTGTTTTCGCCGTGGATTTGGTCGGACTTTGTGTTTTACCGGACAGGGATGGGCCGCCTATTTGCCACGAGTCTCAAAATATTGCATACATTCACCAGAAATGTCATAAACGACAGGAAGTCTCAGTTGATGTCCGCAAAGACCGACACAAACAACGATAGCCTGAAAAGTGATGACAACATGTATTTGTCGGACAAACGCCGCAAACGCTTGGCTTTTATGGACCTATTGCTTGAGCATCACATGAAAGACAATGCGCTGACCATCGATGACATACGCGAAGAAGTGGATACTTTTATGTTTGAAGGGCACGACACCACTTCTGTATCACTCGGATGGACACTATATCTGTTGGGACGCCATCCGGATGTCCAGAATCTCATACACGAAGAGCTGAGTGAGATATTTGGTGACGACATCCACAGAGACATCACGACCGATGACCTCTCGAAGATGTCGTACTTGGAGTGTGTGCTGAAGGAGTCGCTGCGGATGTATCCGTCGGTGCCATTCATTGGCCGCAAACTCACGGAAGACCTCAATTGCGGCGACGATTATGTAGTGCCGAAGGGAACCAATGTCTTCCTCTTCATCGAGAGAATGCATTTCGACTCAAATGTATTTCCAGATCCCCTGCACTTCAAGCCCGAGAGGTTCCGGGATGAGAGCACCGGCAACATCAACGCCTACTCATACGTGCCCTTCAGTGCCGGCGCCCGCAGTTGTATTGGCAAACGGTTTGCCGTCAACGAGGAGAAGATTATTTTGGCAAAGATTTGCCTCAACTTCCGGTTCGAGTCCATGGATCCGATCGATAAGATTCAGGTCTCTTCTGAGATGGTGTTCCGCGCCAAAGACGCCCTCAATATTAAGTTTATACCGAAATATAAGCAAAATTTGTAGTTATAATCAGTTTTATACTTATTGTGTGTTGTGTTGAAAAACTTTATGAACTTTTTTATTCACAAGATATTTATTGACTTTTTT